TATGCTATACGCGCATAGTAAAAAAATAAATTGACCCGCCCTAATGTGCATACATATCGCTGGCTGAGTAGATGATCGACTTATCTCGGCAGCCAGTTCGAAAACGCCCTATCTCAGAAAGTTTCTCAACAATGCCCTATTTCAGAATTTGTTTTAAGAACGCTCTAATTTAAAATTAGATTGAAAAATTTGAGAGAACTTTGCTTGAATGTTGCTCGGGCCAAGGATCGAACCTAACTTACACCGGGTGGAAATGGGCACCTTTAACCTCACTGCAACGGCAGCCGTCGTATGCAAATATATATGTACACTAGGCGACAAATGAGAGTTTACGCCTTGTATATAGTAGCTGCAATTTTTTCTAAGTGAGCGACAAAAGAACGCTCAACTCGTGTAAAATTTCCTTTTAGCTACTTAAGCGACCCTGCTGTTTAACGGGATTTAGACACAAAAAACAATAGAAATTAGTAATTATGCAAGGTATTTGCGTAATATATTTACTTATTTAAAATATAAATCATGTTTATACGAAAACAAAAATTTCCCTCACCACTTTCCCATTAATAATTCACAATAGCGGAGTTTTTTCACTTAACAACTCTGCAGGTCGTGTATTTTTTGACCACACCTGGCTGAACTCGCATAAATAGCCGAGTTTGTGTTGTTGCTTTGCGTGTACTTCGAGTCATTTAAGCGAGTGTTCTTTTGTAGCTCGGTTGCAAAAGAATGGGCCTGTAATATATAATATTCACAGTTATTTCCACGAAACATTTTTTGCATTACACATTTTATATAAAGTTCACAAAAATTTAAAAAAAATTTAATTAAAAATTTCAACTTTTTACGCAGAGTCTCTAGAAAACTCTATCTTTTCATAAATAATTAATGCGAAAACTGTTTCACGAAAATAACTGTGAATATTATATTAAAACAAGACAAGTACACTTTCATTTGTCGCCTAGTGTATGCATGTATGGATATGTATGTAAATACAACAATAGCAAAGAAAACAACAACAAGAAGTCAGCAGCGGCGCCGACGTAGATATTAACAATAATAATAAAATTAACGCTGGTAACCAGAACACAAAACCTTAATTTAATAACAAATGTAAAGCAGCAGCTTTTGGGACTGGATGGGAATGGTGGACACATGCGAAAATGGCGGGTATAGACGATAAAGCAAAAAAAAAAAAAACATATTTACTGCACATGAATTCGCCAAGTATGTATGTATTTGGAAACTATTTAAGATGGAATATTTAAATGTGCAGTAATGCCGGCAAAACTAGAAAGTTGTCAATAATTTGTAAATTTTCTGTGATTACTTTTTGAGAAGCCTGCCTACGACTGAGCTTTGTCAATAAAAATGCGATTTTCTCAGGCTTTTGTTTACCGCTAAATTCAATATACATACATACATACTACATATGAAGGTATGTACGTAAGTAAACGCGCATGTTTTTGTAAACATGCGTTTACATATGTATGCACATTAGGTTGGTCCAAAAAAAAAAAAAGTTTTAATACTTAAGCGCTCACCCCAGGGTTTTTCTAAATAGAAAAAAATATCCCTCTTTTTTTTTTTGTTAAAAATAAATGACATTTAGAATGGCCTCTACAATTTTTCGTAGAAAATCAATATTTTTCTGTTTCCCTTCAGGAGACTTCCAATAATAATACCCCTTATTTAATTTACCATTTTTTAAAACTAAGAGTCCCCCATTGCTTTTTTGGGGTTTTTGGGAGACCCAAAACAGTTAATATTAAAAAATGGTCAAATGAACAATTGGATATTGTTATTGGAAGTCTCCTAAAACGAAGTTTTCCGATCGAAAAATATTTATTTTCAAAAATTGTATACCATTTCAACGAAAAAGTGTTTTCCCCATATAAAATACATGGAAAACTTCATGGGCTTTGGGCAATTCTAAATATATATATTTTTTTTAAATATAGGTATTCTTTTTTTTCATTTATACAGATCGTAGTGGCTGAGAACTTAACATTTTGAACTTTTTTCCCGTATGTATTTTCGAACCACTCTAGTACACATACACATGGCACATACTTACATACATATGTATGTATATACAAGCGAACATACTTGCTTCCAGAAAAACACGATTACTGTGGAAAAT